TGCTCCATCCCACCGCCACCCCACAGCTACGCTCACCTGCTCCACCCCACCGCCACTCCCAGCCCCACCCCGCAGCTACGCCCGCTCTTCCCCACTCCCCTGCTCCATCCCACCGCCACCCCACAGCTACGCTCACCTGCTCCACCCCACCGCCACTCCCAGCCCCGCCCCACAGCCACACTCGCCCTGCCCACCGCACAGCCACTCCCGGCCCACCCCACCTCCACGCTTGCCCCGCCCCACCCACTTCCATCACACTCGCTCTGCCCCCACCCCCTGCCATGCTCACTCCGCCCATCACCACATTGTCTCTTCTCCCACCGCACTGCCAGGCTCTCCCTGCCCCACCCCCACTCCCCGGCCACGCTTGCTTTGCCCTCACCCCTCTGCCCCTCCCATCGTGCCCAGCAGAGAGCTGGGGTGCTCATGGCTGTCTTTGCAGGGGTGCCGCAGCTCAGGGTGGGGGCATCGTGCACTGTGCCCACTCCCAGCACATCTCTGCCATGCTGCAAGGAGTGAAGCTTCATGCTTGTTCTCATAAACCCGCAGGTGCAAACTCCCCTCGCCTGCACGTCTGCCCAGCCATACTGGCTCCCTCCAGGGCCCCGCCTGGCTCGCAGGGCCGGCTGAGAACTGGAGCTGGGTCAAAGCCCCAGACGTCTCAGAGCAGGTTTCCGAGCCCAGGCTCCTGTCCGAGTTTAGCCCTGTGGCGCCAGCCCGCGAGCCTGAGTCCACAAACACGGGTCTGAGACTCCCTGCCGGGGGCGTTGCCGTGTAGATGTCCCTGAAATGCCACTGGGCTCTGCCCTGGAGCTTCCTGCTTCCTGGGATGGCCTGGGTGAGCAGCCAAGTCTGCCCTAGCGATTGCGCCTCTCTCCCCCGCCAGTGATCTAGGTACCCATCCAAACCGCAGTGGGACCCTACCCTGCCTGGCTGCAGATGGCTCTCTCACCAGAGGAATGGCTAGCCCAGCTGCGATAGCATCTGTCCTCTCTACAGGGAGCCCAGGAGTCCTGGCACCTGCACTGAGCGTTCCAGGGGTCGCTGACCCCCAAGAGTGGGCCTGAAGGGCTCTTCTCTGGGGAGGGGGCAGCACAGCCAATGGCGACCCCCTCCCACCCACTGCCCTGCCAGGGCCCCTTCCCCCTCGCCTACATACACACACACACACAGTGATCCACATGGGCTGTGTCACACATATACACACACTGATACACATCGACTTTGTCACACACAAACACGGAGCAATGCACTTGGGTATTGTCTCACACCCAAAGTGATACACAAAGGCTGTGTCACACACACTGCAAATTATACACGGGGGCTTTGTTTCTCTCTCTCTCTCTTTCATACACCCGCTCACTGAAGGTGCTACACATGGGCTGTGCCATACATGCACACGCATACAAACACACACACATAGAGGGCTCCAAACAGGTTGTGTCTCTCACATCCACACATCAAAGGTGCTATGCACAGGTTCTGTCACACCCACACCCACACCCGCAGTGAGAGTGCTACACAGGCACCGTGTCACACACACTCACTGACAGTAATCCACACACGCTGTGTCTCTGTCACACACAGCGAAACACACAGGCTATGTTAGACACACACAGAACGAGACACATGTTTTGTGTCTCTCACATACACACTGAGGTGGCTACACAGGCTGTGTCACACGTGCGGAGGGTAACACACACAGACGCAGAGTGACACATGAGACACTGCGAGTGTGATACACCTGGGTTGTGTCTCTCTCTCACACACACACTGAGAGTGAACCCCGGACTCTCACACACATCCCATGCTTGCTTTCTGTGTCCCAGTCCCTCACGCTGACAGCCCGGCGGGCCCTGGCACCCCCAGCTGGGGCTGGGATCTTGCCTGCTGGGATGCGCTAGGGAGGACCTTGCATGACCTGGTAGGAGCCCCTCAACAAGCACCTTGCCCCCCAGGAGAGCTACTGTCCAGTGTCACACAGGGATCCCCAGGGGCAGCCCCAGCTATGCTTCCAGCTCTACCTGCCCCAGCCCCTACCCCAGGGAGAGCCCTGGTGCCATGTCATGCTTGGGCAGGGATAGTTGGGAGCATGCCTGCCCCAGCGGGGGGGAGGGTGGGAGCAGAAGGGACGGGCCAAGCTCTGCGAGGGGCTGTGGATAGGACCCAGGGACGGCTGGGGGAAGGAGAGCCCAGGGGCAGCGCGGGCACAGATTGGCTTGGGGGCTTCATTGAGCTGCTCCGTTCCCAAAAGGGGTGCGTGGCATTAGCAACCTGCCCGCTGGGCATTCCCCTTCCCTTGGGGGGACATGCTCCAGAACCAGCCCCCCGGGAGCCCGTCCCTGCCAGCGAGTGCCTGAGGTCAGGTGCCCCAAGAGAGGTGGCCCGGCTTGGGGAGAAGCAGTTGTTGCTTTCCTTACCTCCTTGCCGAGAAGCTGGGAGGATGGCGAGGAGGAGGAGGACTCCGGGAAGGAGGGATGCAGCCAGCTGCCTTGCCATCTCTTGAAGCAATGCCCCAGTCCTCTTGCAGCCAGTGTGTTTTATCCCAGAGCCGCTTAATTGTGGCTTCCAAGGCTGTGAGGGGCGAGGGGTGGGGGCTGGCTGAAGGGAGGGGAAGGGAATGAGGGGAGAGGCCCAGGACACTACGTCATTACAAAGGGCAAAGCCTCTCCAGGCTATTGGGCTTTTTTCCCTTTCTAATTTCTCTCTCTTGCTGCTTTCTCCAATTCTGGCGCGTCTCTGCCAAGAGAGCGGGGCAGCTGCCAAGAGAGCCTTCAGCGAGAGGAAGGGGGAGGGCTGGGCTGCCGAGCGCTCTCTCCCCCCGCACCATAATGGCCAGGCCTCCGGGGGCACGTGGGCACGGCAGGCCCCAGACTTTCCCGCCCGCTTGCCCCTTGCAGCCGAGGCAGGGCCATCGGCGAGCCTGCACAGCCTTGCCACCCTTGCCAGGCCCGGGTCGGAGCCCTTGCTGGGGGTGCCAGGCTTGTCAGGGCACAAGTGGCTCGTGGGGGGCGTGCGATGCTGGGGCAGCAAGGCAGCGAGGGGGGATGGGGTGGCAGGAAGAGACCCAGCTCTCAGCCCCACCAGGCTGGAGCAAGGAGGGCAGGGAAAGGGGGGAGATCTTGGTGGGTTTCTGCTCCCAGCCCCTGCAGCTGAGGCCTTGGGCGGCTGCCAGCTGGACCCCTGCTTCCCGCTCCCAATTGCTAATGCTGTATGTGCTGGACACCCTACACCTGAACCTGTGCTGCGCTGCAGGGTACCAGGGCCAAGGGGAGCGGGAGGACAGCGACTCCCAGAGAGCCCAGGAGTTAACCCTGTCACAGCCAGGACCCTGCCATCCATGGGACGCAGCAGGGCTCTGGCCGGCGGAGGGGAAGTCAGCTGTCTGGTCCTGGGGCCAGTCAGTGGGATCCCAGCAGTGCCACGTGGGAGGGGCTGAGGGAGGGGACTGGCAGGCTATGGGGCAAGGAGTGGGACCCCAGCAGCTCTATGTGGAGTGGAGGTGAATGCTGATGGGGACAGTTGTGATGCTGTGAGAGTACAGTGAGGGGGGGGGTCACAGCCGGCCCATTGGGCACAGGGGGATGCAGAGCTGGGGGGTCAGAGTACAGTGAT